TTTTTTTCTTTGCTATGGGTCACATTTTAATTTCTGTGTCTATTAATTTCTTATATATTGGACATAGTGAATGATGCATTGTAGAGATTCTGGATTCTGTTCCTCTGAAGTGTGTCGACTTGTGTTCTACTAGGTAGTTATCTTAGGTTGACTTGTACTCCAAACTCTATCTCCTTTGAGGTATACAGCAGCACAAATCTCTGCTCAGTTCTTTTAGCTTCCAGCTGCTATTGTTGTCAGACCTCCTGAAGTCAGTGATCAGCCAAGAATTTGGTCACAGTTTATACACATTTTGAGGCTTATCTGTGGCTTCTTCCTTTCCAGAATTTCCCTAATTTTACAGCTGCTTTGCCAGCCCTAATCTTGGTTCTCTGAATCTTCAAACCAGTAAACTGTGGGGTTGTGCCCTCCCTGTGTTACGTGGATGAAGAAGTGCCCTTAGGTAGAAAGCCACAGACTTGTAAATCTCACCCATTGCTGTTCCTATCTTTTTAGGGGTGACTTCCCTCCAGTTCCTTTCTTTTTTATTTTTTTGTGTATTTATTTTGAGAGTGTTCACATGAGTGAGAGTCGGGGAGGGGCAGAGAGAGAGGGAGAGAGAGAGAATCCCAAGCAGGCTCTGCACTGTCAGCACAGATCCTGATATGGGGCTCAGTCTCACAAACTGTGAGATCATGACCTGAGCCAATCAAGAGTCAGACACTTACCCAACTAAGCCACCAACGTACCCCTCTTCATTTCCTTTCAAGGAACTTTTAAATAGTTTTTTCTTGGGGCCCCTGGGTGGCGCAGTAGGTTAAGCGTCCGACTTCAGCCAGGTCACGATCTCGCGATCTCGCGGTCCGTGAGTTCGAGCCCCGCGTCGGGCTCTGGGCTGATGGCTCAGAGCCTGGAGTCTGTTTCCGATTCTATGTCTCCCTCTCTCTGCCCCTCCCCCGTTCATGCTCTGTCTCTGTCCCAAAAATAAAATAAACGTTGAAAAAAAAAATTAAATAGTTCTTTCTTATATTTTACCCAGTTTATAATTTGCAGGCATGAGCAAGACATCCAACTTGTATATTCTTATCTAAAGGAGGGGTAGTTCAACCAAACTATTCCACTGTTAATGGAAGCCAGAACTTCCCTTCTTTTAAATTTTAACATATTTGAACTTATTTCCTCAAAATACATAGCTAATAGATTTAGCTATATTTTATAGAATAGATTTAGCTGATAATTATCCCCTTCCCTCAAAAAAAAAAGTGTCAACTCTGTTAGTAGGATTTCATTTTCATTCTTGCCCTCAGTAGACCATATTTCAATTGAGAATTCATTTGTAATTTTAGTTCCAGGTTTGGGGGGTCTTTAGTTTTGAATGCCAGTTTATCAAGGGATAGTACTATGTATCTAAAATAATTCTCACTCAGAAATTTGAAAAGGAGTGTGAAAGAGTCTCGATACCACTGCCGTTTATTTTAGCTTGTGACAAGATTCTCCAGTTTGTCTTGCTTAGGATTCTGCAATTTTAACAATTTTGTATGGTTGTTTTCAAGATTAAAAGAGAAAGCATAAACAAAACTGCTTCTCATGGCACAGAGTATATATTCTGTAAATGCTATTCCCACCCTCTTCACACTGATGATTGTCTTCATGGAAATACATACACAACATCAGTGCCCAACTCATTCATTTGGTTCTTAAATAGGATATATTTAAATCCATAGGTGAAAATGCTAAATTAACCACAGCTTATATTTCTCTATTAACGTACAAAAATGTTGAATGTGTTGTCAATATGGATATTCCCATAAAAAAAAAAAGTATGAATGTAACCATCACTGAGTTTTAGCCAACGGAAATACATGCCAAGAAACATGTTGTTTTGTTTTGTTTTAAGAAATTTGAAGTTCCATTGTCTTCCAGGCAACAGTTATTGCCAACAAAGAGTCTGTTACCAATATGTTTTTGGGAGAGGGTTCATGGTGTGTGTGTGTGTGTGTGTGTGTGTGTGTGTGTGTGTGTGTGTTTAATTTTTAAATTTCACAAACAGTAAAATTTGTTTCTTGATGTACTATTCCAAGAGTTCTTAAGCATGAAATCTAAAGCCCTGTACATAAAAGAAAAAAAAAATGATAAATTGGATTTTACCAAAACTAAAGGCTTTTGCTCTGCAAAAGACATTGTTAAGACCACCCAGCTGACTGAAAACTATAGAAAGCTTATGAAAGAAATTGAAGAAGACACACACACACACACACACACACAAAGGAAAAATATTCCATGCTCATGGATTGGAAGGACAAATATTGTTAAAATGTCGATACTACCCAAAGCAATCTACATATTCACCACAATCTGTATCAAAATAACACCAGCATTCTTCACAGAGCTAGAACAAACAATCCTAAAATTTGTATGGAACCAGAAAAGACCCTGAATAGCCAAAGCAATCCTGAAAAAGAAAACCAAAGCTGGAGGCATCACAATCCTGGACTTCAAGATGTATTACAAAGCTGTAATCATCAAGATGGTATGGTACTGGCACAAGAACAGACACTCAGATCAATGGAACAGAATAGAGAACCCACAAACGTATGGCCAACTAATCTTTGATAAAGCAGGAAAGAATATTCAATGGAATAAAGACAGTCTTTTCAGCTAATAGTGCTGGGAAAAGTGGATGACGACATGCAGAAAAATGAACCTGAACCACTTTCTTCCACCATACACAAAAATAAACTCAAAATGGATGAAAGACCTAAACATAAGACAGGAAGCCATCAAAATTCTAGAGGAGAAAGCAGACAAAAACCTCTTAATCCTTAGCTGCAGCAACTTCTTACTCAACACCTCTCTGGAGGCAAGGGAAACCAAAGCAAAAATGAACTATTAGGACCTCATCAAAATAAAATTTTTTGCACAGCGAAGGAAACAATCAACAAAACTAAAAGGCAACCGGCAGAATGGGAGAAGATATTTGCAAATGACATATCAGATAAAGGGTTAGTATCCAAAATCTATAAAGAACTTATCAAACTCAACACCCAAAAACAAACAATCCAGTGAAGAAATGGGCAAAAGACATGAACAGATACTTCTCCAAAGAAGACATCCAGATGGCTAACAGACACATGAAAAAATGCTCAATATCACTCATCATCAGGGAAATGCGAATTAAAACCACAATGAGATACCACCTCACACCAATCAGAATGGCTAAAATAAACAACTCAGTCAACAATAGATATTGGCAAGGATGCGGAGAAAGAGTATCCCTTTCGCACTGCTGGTGGGAATGCAAACTGGTGCAGCCACTCTGGAAAACAGTATGGAGCTTCCTCAAAAAATTAAAAATAGAACTACCCTACAAATTGCACTACCAGGTATTTATCCAAGGGACACAGGTGTGCTGTTTCAAAGGGATACTCCAGTGTTTATAGCAGTGCTATCAACAGTAGCCAAAGTATGGAAAGAGCCCAAATGTCCATCGACGGATGAATGGATAAAGAAGATGTAGTATATATATACGCTAGAGTATTACTCGGCAATCAAAAAGAATGAAATCTTGCCATTTGCAACTACGTGGATGGAACTAGAGGGTATTATGCTAAACGAAATTAGTCAATCAGAGAAAGACAAATATATGACTTTACTCATATGAGGACTTTAAGATATAAAACAGATGAATATAAGGGAAGGGAAGCAAAAATAATATAAAAACAAGGAGGGGGACAAAACATGAGAGACTTAAATACACAGAACAAATTGAGGGTTGCTGGAGGGGTTGTGGGTGGGGGGATGGGCTAAATGGGTAAGGTGCATTAAGGAAGACACTTAGGATGAGCACTGGGTGTTATATATAGGGGATGAATCATGGGAATCTACTCCTGAAATCATTATTGAACTATATGCTAACAAACTCGGATGTAAAATTTAAAA